TATTGTGTGCGTACCCTACGGTATAATTGGCCGAAAAAGCTGTTCTGTATGCGCAATGGCTAACCGGTAGGTGTACTTGTCTGCATAACTCGGTGGTCATGTCTATACATAAACAGGTATGACGACGTGATCACAAAAATCCAACTTGTTGATAATGTATAAAATTGTTCCGATTCCAATAGAAATACATAAAATCTGGTTGTAACACCGGATAGAGCGGAATGATAAAGTACATATATGCATGACAAACTAGAAGGGAAAGTAAGAAGAGGGTGGATCTGGGTTCAATACTACTCGAGCCTCAGATGTTCGAACACGTAGTACAAGCATGTCTGTGTTTCGCGCACAAATGAGGACATGAGCATTAAAATGTCAGTCAGAGTATATTAACACGAAATGAACGCTTGTGTGTACGTGTATAGATGAGCTACGTACGAAAACGGGTATGCAATCTTGAGTTCTTGTTTCACATTAAGCATACATTTGGACCGGACATTATTTTTGCGCAAGCCTATACGTTTATAAACCATAGCAGGTAGGGTCGATATACCCATACGGGAGGAAACATAAACTACACCACATAGACATATGCATACCTACGTGACAACCCGTTCAGATACATACACTTGCACACAGCTTCTATATCTTCGATAATCAACTTCGAACATGCCTGACGACAGATATCGATACAACAAATCTCCCAAAGTAGCACACGGCGACCCAATATATGCGTACACTTCTCTATCTTTTGATGTCCAAAGCAATCGGGCTGACCACCGCTATACAATTATCCTCTTAACAAGGTATAGAGGACAGCACGAATACGATTTAGGTTTGTACCGTCACCGCCACTGCCGTACATGCATCTCTTATATTCTTAACTGAACGTCAAACGCGGATGTGTCTACAGACGCAGCGGACACTTCTACAACGCCCCACATGTACATACATTTCAACACTCCACAAATCTATTTCTAAATTATACCTCACAACCTATCCATACCTGTCGCAATCCGGTCGGTACGAGTTACACCCCATTCTGTGCCGGTCCGATTAGAGGTTCTATATTCTCCTCTGGACGTTATATATATCTAACCACACTCACATATGAGGCTACAGGCGCACAAGATACCTGCTAACCCAAGCATCCTCTAATTTGCAACACACAACTATCCATACCTGTTGCAAAACGGTCAGTGCTGGTTGAGCCCCGTTCTGCATCGTTACAGTCCTAGTCTCGTTCACAGTCGCATTCGTATTGACAGCGACATTCGTATACGTGTTCATATTCCCAGCGCATGTGTTCTCGCCTGCATGTGCTTGTTGTGGCTGTGTAGGGGTGGGTGTAGGTGTGTGTGCGGGTGTTCCCACAGGTGTGTGTGTGCCTGTATACCCCTGAGGATTCGTTGGTGTATGCGAGCTGCTGTATGCAATACTAGGAGATGCCACATGTTGCTGCGGCCCGCTCATCTGTCCTTGAACACCCATAGCATTGATTTGCCCCGTACCCTGTGTTTGCGCTACACTCCTATTGCCCGGGTTGACACCTCCATACGCTTGTGGTTGAGGTTGCGACTGTGGTTGTGGATGTGCTTGTGCCTGTACCATATCTCCATGTCTGATATCTGGCGTGATATTCTCTTGCACTTGTGTTTGTGTCTCATCTCTGTGCTTAGCACCACCACCAGCACCGTTGTTACTATTCACATACATGTGTGGCTGCGGTTGCGCCATACCCCCCTGTACACCCTCATTTGCGTGCGCAGTCATTGCGGGTGTTCCCATTTCTTTCTTGACACTCACATACATTGCACTCATACTTGAGTTTCCGACCCCCACACCTAGCGTGTGTACACCCATCCCAACACTAGATACAGTAGGTGAATTAGAATTCATACCTGCGTGCGACTGGACGTTTGAAGGCGCCTGTGCTTGCACATTAGTATTGCCATCTGCCTGCGGGTGTAAACTCGGATCTGAATTTGTATTCGTGTTTGCATTCGGAACCGACTGTGCACTATACACAGGCTGATGCGCATTCACATTCACGTTTGCATTCGCTTGTGGTGATGCAATATGATAAGCATTTGGCTCAGACTTCACCTGTGATCCGTAATCAGTACGAAACTGTGCATTGGGTATGTAGTTCGCACTACTACCCTGAATTGTTTTTATATGTGCATTCGTATTCGAATTCGTATCAATATCCACACGTGCTTGTTGTGCATGTTGAGTCATTCCCATCCCTGTAGTCGGACTAGTGCTACTACCATAGCTCGCCTGAATATTACCATCCGGATGTTGTGGTACATTCAACTGCTGCTGCTGTGGTTGATACTGTGCTTGGTCGTATGTCCCGCTATTGAATACCGGTTTCACATCCACATCCCCTGAATTGGGGATAGCTGTAGGTGCGTAGGCGTGCGCATTTGTTGTTGTATTGGTCGTATTTGGGTGTGATGTTGTTGGATCACCGATGTTTGCCTGTGGATCAGACATGATGTATTATAATCTATAGGTACAACTTGATAATTATTTGCTTAGAGCTCAACTAAAGTAAATGTATATATGTACTAGTGAAGTTCATATATGTAATGACCTATGTATTGTGCTGTTCCTACGTCTTACGTTGTATCCCAATCCCAGTAAGAGTAATCGAATGTATACTATCACACTCGCTAGGAGACTGACGGTCAGTACATTTGCACTTTCAGCTTATATTTAGTAGATTTACACACTTAAGTCTACATACACATGTGTTTACACCACTTACAAATCTCATTATATTTAGGAAGCATTTGCCTAATTTAGTCTATATATATGCTTACACTCTACGGCCCACGTCCCACAGCGGTGTATTCTCTCGCCTTGTTTAACTCTTAGATGTATACTTGCATATTTTATCATACATTTAAAAGCAGTGTATGTAGTCACATGTAAAACGGTATACACCCATGTAGATAGATGTTATGTGTGCGTTTTTACAGAACTTCTATGTAGTAGAAGTAAATAGAATAAAATACATACACACGAAATAAATAAATAAAAATACTTGCGCGTCATCGGTGGAGGATGCAATGTCGAGTGTACCGAACTTCTCACACTCGTTTTGGTCCGTCGATCTGGCGCGCTTTCTAATTTCGTTTTTTTTGTTTGTTTCTAAAAAAGAAAATGATCTTCTGCGTGACGTACTGAATCTCAGAATCTGTGAACGTATAAGTGGTATTTTAAATATCGGACGCAAACGTTTGAAGTTTTAGTATTTTTATAACGTTATAACGTTATATCGTATATAAAGTGGGGTACATATGTCAACGGGAATCAGACCTATGTGTCAAACAGCCTTTTCTAGGACCAAGCCAAGGTAACCGTTCAACGTAAATGAAAAAGAATTGATTTCTATACGCCACAACGTATAACGTATTGAGGTCAGACTTCCCACACGTGAAATGCAGTCATTGTGGTGACACTTCAACTTCGACACGCCGCAGTCATCGTTTTTATTTTAACATCGCGTATGTAAATAGTTATATCACGTATTTATATGTTAGTAGCTACATATACTACTTCCACAAGTACTGTTAGGGGTATAGATAGCTATATCGCATTACATACATGGAGGCCGAGATAATTCATGAGGCATAGAGGTCTGTTGACGTTTTATACGAAGACCTGCATCCCTTCAGTGTAGTGGATAGGCTCATGTTTAGAAGCGTGAAACGCATCCAACGCGTGTTCTAAGTATATTCTAGAAGACTAGATATGCAAGCAGATCACACTTGTGTATACATATAGTTGGTGTACAATATACGTATAGTTATCATATAATACATTTATAGTATTACATATTTACCAAGCAGGTAATCAGACACGATGCAAGGTATAGTACATGCTGTGCGTAGTTCGAATATGCCAATGCTGCAGATGTCGAAACTTCGACTTCAGATGCGTGAAGTGGCTCTTGTGCACACACATGCGCAAGCACATACACAACCACGCACTCATTTACATACGATACGGAATATACAAGCCCACACGAATGTATGTAAGGATGTGAACGCACCCACACACCCACAAAGAAGAGCTGCACTGACAGTACACACGCGCATGCGAAGCAGTGCACAAGACAAGAGCAAGTCAAAGTTAAAGAGATACCAGGACTCAAAGTTCATTAAAAGTACAGGTAGGTTTTCCAAGCCTACATCCGATAAGGTTCCTGGCCTTAGTTTAGGTACAAGACCCGGGGAAAGCACGTATACAAGACTCAAGGCACCATCAGTGCATAAACCTGCACATACACAGAAAACGCACGGTGTACAGAGCACGCACGCACACACAAATAAGATGCATATCACACATAAACACAAGGACACGATACAAATGCAAACTTATAAAAATACACAATCAAGTGCGCAACCTATAGCTAGAGATCCAAGCTTGAAGGTTCCTGGTACGTATACGCCTAGTGATAGCATGTATATGACTCGACTGAGAGAAAGCCCCAACCCAGTGCCAGTGTGGGCCAACTATAAATATCCGAATCAATCCACCGCGAAACTTGGCTCACACTTCTCCAATAATCTATTTCAGATAACAGCAGAAACGTAAGTTATAGATGTATATACATAGAAATATGTATGTTTGAATATTATATATATATATACACACGTATGTATCTATGTATGTATCTATGTATGTGTATATACACATACACACATATATTTAT